ATAAGCTGGTGAAAATTTTGGCTCATTAATACTTTCTAAGATTTTTATATGTGAAAACTATACCTATTTACAAATAAAATAAAAAAAAATGGATACGTCCAGAATTTCACGAAATAATGCGATTTAGCCAAAAAAAAAAAAAAATTTTTTTGATGCATTATTTTTGATGCATTATTTTTGATTGGCACTGTAGTTTCTTGTATTTTCTTGTTAAATTCTAAGTCAAATTTCGGATTAATTTATATCGATCTTCGGAAAAACAATGGCTTAATGATTTATCTGAATTCTCTTGCTTAGGTTTTATAATTGCAATGTAACCTTCTTTAAATGGCTATTAGAATTGTTTACAAAAAAGAAGCAAAAAATCAGAGCTAATAAATCACACTAAAAAAAAAAGGATTGGATGGTAAAAATTTAGATACCTTATTTTGTAGCAATTCTTTTTCATGCTCAAACCTTGTGTTGATATCAAGGATCCAACCTACGACGCCAGCCTTAATACTATACCGCTTTCCTTCTTCAGTTGTAACAACGCAAATTTCAGTATCAATTGAAAGAGGAACTTGTTTTTTCTTATTAATCGAACTCTTAATCTTAACATTGTATTCTATAGTTTGAATGCTTGATAGATAACGACTAGAAGAGCTCTGATCCTGTGATCGTTGAAGTAAAGGATGCGCTGGTGCTAAACCTATTACGCATGATCTTTAGCATATCAAAAGAAATATCATTGTAATGGTTATTACATAGCTAATGTTGTTCAGATTTTTTTTTTTAAGTCTTTACTTGTTTGGAGCCTGATAAATATATAAATCTTCCGTCGAGTTTTCTTCGAACAAAAATTATTAACTTGATATACGCATTTAACACCAAAAATACTAAATTGTAATAACGCTTACTCAGGTCGACAACATAATACTTTGAGTAATATTGCTCGAGATATGCTAACTCATTTTTTTTGTATGCTTCGCTTATATTTTTAAATTGCTTTAAATCATAAACAGGGTTAGTTAAGGTGTTAAAGTTCATTTTTGCTGTAATATCGATATCGATATGCCTTATTCGTCATTTTTATTGCTACTTTCAATTCTCATGTGATCACATTTCGATTGACAAAAATATCGTTCCTGATGAATCGTCGATACTCTTCCTGATAAGACTAAATTCGATTATTTTCTGCTGCCGAAATTACCGAAAAAAAATAAACTCAGTAAAATTCATTTCAAGATCAGGTGTAATGTATAAATCTGTATGGGCTAGGTTCTTAAACAAAAATAATTTTGATTGGCCAAAATCTCGTGATCTAACCTGGCTTTAAACATTTTTTACAGGAGGATCCCTAAATTTCCGGGTCAGAATGGCCGGAATGCATCGTGGTTAGGGTTAGCTATAGTAAAATTATCAGTTTTACTTAATGAGCGACTATGGTTTCATTAGTAAACTTCTTAGTGATCTTGATCCAACCAGGATTCCGATACATTCTGGCCCAGAATTTTGGGATCCCCTTGTATGAGTTGGCTTAACAGATCCCTAAAAAAAGAAAAATTCGTATCACTATTTACTAAGTACAAATAGCGATAGGAAAACTTATAACTTAAGCTAACGTAATCTTCACGTGCTGTCAAAAGTTTAACAATAAATTTAGTAATTGAAGGGTTACACAATCTACTAATCAAAAATTTATAGTACTGTATTTTTTTTTCTTTAGCAATAAACTTCGCTTCGTTGTTTTTTGATGATAAATAAAAGTTAAATACAACAATCATGCCTGGTGAAGCTTTACTATTTCTTTTTGGCACCATTATGGCAGCTGCTTTACTTTTTATGATGGTCTTTTTCGTATCCTTAAAATTAAGAATTGGTTAACAAGTTTTCTTTTAAGACAAGCATACTTTATGCTAAATCTTTACTTTCTCAACATTGATCATAGTTTGTTTTATCCATAATCTTTAAGCTTTTTTTTACTATGCATTAATAGACAATCATGTTTTCAGATCTTGAATGTGATTATATCAACCCCATTGATCTTTGTAACAAATTGAATCAAGTAAGTTTTTCAAATTCTTCGAATGTATGCTTAAAGTAGTATAAGTATACTAACAATAATTATATAAAATCAGTTTGTTCTCCCAGAAATGTTGGCCCATGCCTTTCTCAACTTTGCGTTCTTTATCAATGGAAGCTGGATAGCTTTTGCAATTAATGCACCATTAGTCGCATATAATGTTCAGAAGTAAGTTTATGTAAATTGTGATTTTTCTCAATATAATTAATTAAAATTTATTAAAAATTTTAACCGTTTTTTTATTTTAGAATTACCAATAATCGACATATGTATGATGCTACAGAGATTTTTCGAACTCTCGGACAGCACAAAAAAGAGTGTTTCATAAAACTTGGATTTTATCTTGTTTGTTTCTTTTATTACTTATACAGGTATGATAAATTACATAAAATTATTATATAGAAATCGATGATTATGTAAAAAAATGCCGATAAGAGTGATCAAACGGATATTTAATAATCGATCAATTACACAAACATTTTATTGAAATTTGTAATAAGTACGACTATATGCGTACTAATTTCCTTACGCTTGAAATTTTTAACGAATTTTTAAAATGAATCAACAATGAACTTATTAATATTTACTAAATTATATTTTTATGATCTGTTATACTATAGAATGATCGTCGCACTCATTAATGAATCTTAAATTGAATGGTTATCAAAAAACATTTTATTAAAATGGAAATAACGTAAGATGGCGGGAACTGACATAGTTGTCAAGGAAGGACGTGTAAGAAGAACATCTAATTATGTGGTTGTATTGCATTCATTTCATAGATGAGAACTCTTAATAATGAATATTCACCGAGATGGGTCATATATGTAGGTATTTTTTTTTGTAATTTGGTTTAGGAATAATTTTTCTTCATCGATAGTATTTATATAATTGTGCAGCTTTACAGCTCCAAGTCTTTATTTTCGTGATTTTAATCAAAAAGTTTTTTTCTCAGTTTTTTAAAATAAAAAACTGTTATATCATGAACATATTTCGAAAAAAAAAATAAAAAAAATAATAATTTATAAATACAAAAAAAAAACATGCAAATATGAATAAGCGTTAAAGTAACTTTTCTTGTAACCATTCGTTAGTCAATTCCTCAGCTTCTCTAATGTCAAAAACCTAAAAGTTTAATAATCATTAATATTTTATAAATATAATTAAACCGAATCTTAATCTCTTACCTTGTTTAAATCAGCTTTTTGTTGAAAATATGTTTTTGCACTCGCATACTATTATGATCGCAAAAAGTTATAAAAAAACTATAACATGTGATATAACCAACGTAAAATAAAATAAAATAAATACCAGCATATGTGTCTCAGGTTTCGTTGAAGGTGGTGAATAATAAATTAGAACTAACGGGTATGACTTACGACCATCTCGATGAGATAGCTATCAATGAAAATGTGGTAAACGTTAAAATAAATAATGATAAAACCAAGATTAAAGAATATCTTTTCACTACGTTTTATACCTCATAACTTAGTACAATGTATCTTGGTGAATTTTCGGGAAGTTCTTAAAAACAAACTTTTTATAAGATAACAAGTCTCAATTGTGTGCAAAGGAAAACCATTATCCAGCAGCCTACTATGATCGTACCAACAGAATAACTCGAGTTATTTTGATGATGAAATCATCACAAAAAGGATTTGAGTCATTCTGTTGGCTCGGTCATCGTAAGCTACCTGATAATACCGTTATCATCCAATAACTTGTTTATCTGGCAGCGAATTTAATATGCGTCATTTCTGGGGTTCCTTCGGAGCCCAGAAGCTTGCATATTAAATTTTCACAGCCAGATAATGAAATAATTCCGTTATTGGCTACTTCGCATCCAATAACTCTATAATATCACACCTTCAACAAGATCTTCTAAAGATATCTCATCATATAATACATCTTCGATGACTAATAACTTCTCCATATCAACCTTTACTTTTAAGTAAGAGAGACTTTTGATTTTTAAAAAAATGGTCTAGAAATGATTGAACTTGATTTTAAAAAACTCACAAACAAAAGCCGAAGTCCCTTTTTGAGACTTTTTTCCAAACCTAAATTTTTTAAGTTTTTGTAAAACTTCCGGATCAACTTCGCATGTTGAAGACTAAGTTCACAATAGAACACTTTAAAAATCGATAACAGAAAAATAAACCTTTTTACAATAACAAAAGTTTAAAGATACCATATTGTATTTGATAAAAAATGATATGCACGCGAGAAAGAATTAAGTTTATTAAAATCAAGCCACAAACTAATATGGATAAATATGAAAATTATTCCCATATATGAATGCAGCCAAGGAAAAATGAGACATTGGTTTTTTAAATAAAGTATATTGATATATATATACTGTATGTAAAAACCGATTCCCGTTTTCCTTTGGCAGCACTCATACTGTATACACAGGTAGAACAATAAACTTTTTTTAAAAGTATTCTTTCAAAACTCTTTGGTGTGATATGCAACTTTTCCAAATATTTTCGTATCTCTTTCACAGGTAATTAAAGTTTAGAGAAGAGGTTGCATACTGTATCGCATCAAAGGTTTTGAAAGAATACTTGTCGAAAAGATTTATTGTTCTACCTGTCACAGGTCGAATTTTAAAATTTCAATAAGATTTCAGCGAGATATCAGCGGAATATCGGACGTTTATAAAGCCGATAGCAACCAGATATTTGGCGCGTATTGCAACCTATCGGATAGATATTGCATTCGATGGCATCTGACTTATATTGTAAAATATCGGATATTTGATATTTTTTTAATAGAAGTGTCAGATCTCTAACATGCCTACCGGATGCGATATATCGGGTAGCTGTCAGCTTTATAAACGTCTGATATTCCACTAATATCTCACAAAAGCTTGTCGAAATTTTGAAGTTCGACCTGTGTGTGATACTAGAGATAATTTGCTACGTATGTTTTTTATTAGTTTCCAGATATAAATGACATTGGTAATATTATTTATTACACGAATAAAAGTTGATTGAATTGAAAAAAAAAAATAAAAAAAATAAAAATTTATAGCTAATAAAATGTTCGACACATTTCTCATACTGTGTACTGTAACGCTAAAATATTTTTCTTAAAGTTCACCCAAAGTCTTGTATATAAGAATTAATCCCATGACCACATATAATGTCTTCCATCATTCTCCTTACATTCTCTTTAGCTATACAAAAACTCCAAATGATATACTGTATATTATTGGAAAAAGCAGTGCTCATAAGAAAATATTATAATTTCATATAATAATAAAAAAAATATCTTAGTTTATTACGCTTTTAAATTGCTAAAATTACTGTCATTCATTCTCTTTTTACTGCTTTAACTCTTTTGCACATAGATTTTGTGATTCTCCATATATACACATACAGTATATATATATCATCCATCAATAGTCAAAATGCCAAAAATCAACATATAGTCATATTATTTTCAGTTTGGTTAATTGATTGCCATATGCTGGTTCACGTCGGCATTCTGTTAGCATTCTATTTGCCAAATAGGTATTCAGCTAGCTGAGTGCCTATTCTACAAACAGGATGTTAGCAGAATGCCAGCATACATTCAGCACTTTCGGCAATCAATTAACCAAACTGAAAATAATATGACTATATGTTGATTTTTGGCACTTTGACTAGTGCATTGAAATATTTGATCACTCTTCTTGACAATATGACAATATTGATCAAGTTGTAGGCTGTGTTCGTTGTGAAGGAGATATAAGCCAGTAATTTTATTATTATTTATATTTATAGGTCATAGAATGAGCTATCTTTTTAGCAGTCGATCCTGCGTAATCTAAAGGTTTAACTATCGGCTACAGTATTCTGTTCGGGCTGTTTTCCCTTATGATTCATTGATTGCATGTAGCAATTAGCAGTTGTTTCTTGGTAGCAATTTGCTATTCTTCCATTGTGTGTTTTTTTGTTTAAAGTAAAAATAAAAATTCTGAAATTACGCGTTATAGTAGGATTATATGTTACCGATCTCTATGTAATTACATGATTTATTGTACAATTTGGGAATGCAATCTTTTAATAAATTATGATTTTTTTTGCAATAAAAATTTGCAAAATCAATTTTAATCTGTTTTAGCTTAATTGCATATCCTTTCAGTTTTTTGCGTTTGGAATTTTGTAGAGAGCCACCGATGAAAACTGATTTATTTAAAGGGCAACAATAAAGTAAAATATAATACATATATAGTTAAAAATATGTTCAAAAAACCTTATTTATCCTATCCTCCATATCATCCCAAGAGATCCCGAATCATTTCATCCCAATTTTATGAGCTGATAGCTCTACAATCGCCCATTTATTATTTACATATGCTACAACTAAAAGCTTTGATAAGCTGAATCTTGGTTTTCCATCATCTTCTGATGAATGTTTAAAAAAATTACCATTTTTTGGATCAGTAATGATTCCGAGAAGAAAAGATAGAATAAATGTCTATGGGGATATTTATGGGTTTGGTATTATTATGGCAGAAATGTCAAACGGACAAAGACCTTTTGATGGTTATAAATTCGACCTAAAACTTGCAGTCAAAATTTGCAAAGGACTGCGGCCAGAGTTTGCACCTGGAACTCCTAAATGCTATATTGAATTGGCTGAGAAATGCATGAA